TATATATATATATATATATATATATATATATATATGTGTTGTGTGTTATGTACTTTACTACATTTATATGCTTCAGTTGTATTTTCATTCTTTCAAATATTGTTTGATGTTGCATTTAATATATATGTATACCTATAATAACGTAAGGCTAACTCCGGTTGATCATTGTAAAAGTGATGCATGCCTATACTAGCAATGGCTTCGGTATGAGAAGCGTCCTCCTGCGCGATTATTTTATAATATTTCATGGACATCGTCGTGTTGTTCAAGCCCTCGAATATCCGGCCCATTTCTGTTAGGATCGTAACATCGTTCGCAAAGTACTCAAGGCCCCTCTTACATGTGTCCAATGCGGCTACTGGCTGATCAAGCCTGATGTAGACTCTAATCAGCCGCAAAATTGTTTCAATGTTTCTGTGATCTTTCAACGCCGACTTGAATTGTTGTTCCGCGTCTCTTACTAATCCCAAGGTGTAATAACACTTTCCTAGTTGAACTTTCCACCACCAATCCTTATATTGACAAACCTGCGTCGCCTGAACGGCCAAGTCCAGCGCCTGTGACGCATATAACAATACAATTTAGAATATTGATACAACTTTTGGCAATTAACGTTCGTGACTTACGTATCTGGCATCGTGCTCGTGATAATAAATATATTCGAACAATGGTTTTGCTATGCTTTGCTGATTAGCGTATTTAGTTATATTCAATCGTGACAATTGGATAAAGGGTCCACCAGGCTCCGTCAACATCGATGCTGTACCAAGCCTTGAAGAACGAAGAAATCATTTAAATTTTCTCTTAATATCGCACAAGTTACATCATTACCTAACACTGCGTCCTGAACTTGCTGTAATCGGCCTAGCAGTCATCGCTGTTCTCGGTGTTTTCAATGCTTGCTCAATCGACTGGGACATTGCTGCCTGCGTAGCAGGTCGCACTACTCCGGTAACAGGTCTACCTTTAAAGTGTCAACGCAGAATTTTCAGTTTCAGAATGCTTAAACAAAAATTTGTATTGGAATTTTTAGGTGTGTTATGACAAACCGGACTGAGATTTAGGCCGCACTCCTTGACCAGTGTAACTGGTACCAGGGTTTTTTAAGGAAGTTCCCGGTCTGGGCATCGTCGATATCGCATAATTGTCTAACAGAGTCTCCGCAATTCCTTCCTCTTCGCCCTCGATATCATCCACGTAGACTTGCAACGTTAAGGCACGCATTTTTAAAACCCACACAGCCTGGCAATGAATTCTTGTGTCATGACTGATTCACAAACAATTATTTTCTACGCAAGAAATAAGAAAAAAGAATATATACCTGATCCAATGGATTTTTTCTCAATAAATCCGTACATATTACGGCACACGCTTCGTATTTTTGCCGATTAAATAAACTCAAAGCTGTGAATAATTCCATATTCGACAAAGTATAAATTTCTTTAGAATAAAATACTAGTCCCGTCGCATTGATCCGACTATTACAGACTATATCACTTTACTATGCTTCTCGAGCAACCATCTGCCTTATTGCACATACGCAAGCAAAGTTATTGATTATTTTCCTTCTGAGTTATTTCTTCTTTTAACGGCGTAAAAAGTAAAGATAGTAATCAATACAACAGTATATATGTATGATTGGTATTTGTTCTTAATCATATGAAATTATACATGATTTTTGACGTTTTCTTTTCCAGTGTGAATAAAAATAGATAAAATTGTTAATATACTTCAATATAATTTTGATCTCTTAAAAAATAAAATTAGAATTATAATGGATATGATATTTGTTGGTAAAAATCATCCAAGGTTAGTGCAAAAGGAATATAAGTTATTGCGGCAATTATATATTTATATAATATATTTTATATAATATAATTATTATTATAGTATACAAGAAGCATTTGAGCGATTTTTCGAGACGAAAAATGTAGTGGAGCAATGCACCGAGCAATCTTTGGCATGTTTACACAACGCTTTCTTGGTATGTTAATTAAATGTCTTTTTTTCTTATTTCTATAAAATTTTATTTTATAAAAATGTATATTCAGGCAACAAAGGATAGAAAGATGGACTCCTCTCAACTGTATGATGCCTTTCGAACCATCCTAAAAATAGAAATGTCACAGGATGACTTCCGAGTTCTCTTTAAGAAAGTCAGTTAATTCACATTCCATTCTTAATTTTCAAACTTCTAATTTTCAATTTTTTTCAAAATGTAAATATTAATTCCAGATAGACATGAAACTTAAAGGCAAAGTAACGTGGAATAGATTCCTTTCCTACTTACTCATTGAATTTCGCAATATAGACAGCAGTTTAAAATTGCAAAAGTTGGAAGTGCCGTTAACGGATTTACCAAAACTACTAAAAACTCGTCATCGCACTTCTGTTTGCAGAATCATATTTTGCCCAGAAGTTTTACCGGTATGTGTTCGATATTAAAGACTCTGATGCTCGAATCGATCAATTATGCTTTGCATTTCCAGAGAAAGTTCATTATTGTATACCAATATCTCTTTACATTTTGCAATTAAAAAACTTCTTAAAAAAAAAGAATTGCTCAATTATTGCATCAATCGCTCTTTCAAAAAAAATATTTTCAGCAAACATTCTCATCTATTTATAGTCATCACAATTTTCTTACATTAATTTTTAGGACAGAAGCACGAGTTTCCGTCGAGGATGTTATCTGACTGTTAGCCGAGACGGGGTGATTAATTACTGGTCCTTAGATCTTGAATATGAGCGCACGGTGCAATCCAAAAATCGTTGGTACTTCATTATTTCCTCTCTTATCCTGGGTTAATACTTTCCCCAATACCTTTTTTGCAGCCTACTTGAAAATACAATCAACCGTTATAACTGACATGATCGTGCTACCGGATGTTCAGGTAGTATGCACGAGCTCGACGGAATGCGATTTGAGATTTTATGATGTTGTGGCAAGAAAATTCGATCTTCGCATATTGGTTGGTAATAGTGAGGATAAAACTCCATCTTTCATTGTTTCATCCACTATTCATTTTAATTAATGTCGCGTGATAATTTTAGATATCCAGTTTAGAAAATGCAGTCGTTTGTATGTATTATTACTTCAGCACAGATATACAACAGAATTCCTATATTGTTCTGGGTGATACAAGCGGGTCTATTATAATCATGGCTTTTAATCCTACGGATAGAGGACCTTTCAAGCCAAGTACTGTCTATGACATGATAACCCTTCGTTATGCCGATGTTATTAAAGTAATACGAGAATAATCTATAATGAAACATGCGTAAAATATGTTTTATTGAAAAATCACATTGCTAAAAGATTACTGCAATTAGGGAGAGTTGCAAGGATTTGATGTCACGGTGTTTAAGAACATACATACAAACTGGACATGCCAGGTGGCTTATTACGAAAGTCTGCGAATGTTCGTATCAAGCAGTCAATGCTCCGTTTGTTCCTTATGCGTTTTTGACGCAACTGGAGCGAGGACGCAATATAGATTCCAAGTTCCCATGGGAATATCCTGCTTCACGCTTTGCGAAGGTAACATCTCACTTTGTAATCGCGAATCAGTCGGTCTATTTTGAAATGTACGCTTTTTTTAGAGAGTCGCATATTGGTAACGGGTGGACCAGACTGCGTGGTCCGCATTTGGAATCCATTTGTCCCAGGGAAAGCAAATGCCATTTTTTCGGAACATCGCTCGACCATCTGCGCGCTCGTCGTAATAGATGCCGGCAAACGCATTTATTCTCTGTCAAAAGACAGATGCATAAAGGTGTGGGACGTCGCGAGTCTTAACTGCATTCAGGTTTGGGAAGTCATGGCTTTTGAATACAATAAATAATATAATAATAATAATAAATATAACAATTACATTAGTAACAAAATAATGTAAAATATTTGTACAATAGTCTTCCTCTTGTACTTTACCTTTTATACTTCTCTTTTAATAACAAATAATAAAAAATAAGATGAATCTCATAAACAGACGTACAACAAATTACCAAGTGAGTTGAGCGAGTATACTCAAATGACCATAGTATTCAACACGCTGACTCGTACAATGATTATTGCCAGTATGATGATAGCTATCCTCGTTTGCGAACACGTAATTAACGAAGAAACTTCGGATGGCTATACGCACACTAAGGGCGTCAGTTGTGTTCTTTATAATCAGCTCTTCCGAGTGGTGAGTGTATTTCTTCGAAAATCGAAATTCGAAAATCATTGATAATGAATTGTTTAACGATACAATAATATTTTATCGATATGCAGATTGTCTCTACGGGATTGGATTCGTGCATCATCGTCTGGGATCCTTGGCGTGGGCACCGTTTGCGTTTGATATCACACGCCCACAGTATTATGCGATATGGACAGCATGCAGACATTGAGATCACGGCAGCTTGTTTTGACGATTCAGAGCAATTTTTAGTGACCGGCGCTAGGGACGGTTCATTGAAAATGTGGAATTTTAATACCGGCCTCTGTTTACGCAACGTGATGGTTGATCATCAATGGTAGTGAATGATTCAATAACTGCTTTACTCTGAAAAATTCTATAGCTTTTAATTAAATTGCAAAAAATATCGTAATTACAAAACTGATTTTTCGATGAATTATCATGAATTATTGCATGTTATCATGAATTATTGTAATTTTTTCTTCTCAA